CACACACACACACACACACACACACACACACACAACACACACACACACACACACACACACACACACACAAACACACACACACACAACACACACCACACACACACACACACACATACAACACACACACACACAACACACACACACACACCACACAACACACCACACACACACACACACACACATATACATAACATACATACATATATATATATATTATATATTATTAATATATATACATATATATATTATATATATATATATATATATAATATATAATATATATATATATATATATGAAAAGAACTTGATTTTATTTCCTTTGTCCTTCAAACATATAATAAAACTATCATTATTTCCTTTGACTGTAAAAATGAATTTAATATCGACAATTACCCGAAAATCGTATCGCTTTGATAATTTCTAAAGCATTGGCGGCATCCGCATTCACTCTCATTAGCGTGCGTTTATATTGGCTATCTACTGCAACAAACGAATCTGATAAAGGTTTTGATTGGCTAGGATGATTAAAAAAAGATAGATAATTGAATCCAGGTAAAGTAGGCCGACAGTTGAGCCGCGCAGGAATATGCTTATGAGGAATATGGGTAAAGGAAAGTGAGGTGAAAGAAGTGAAGGTGTGATATGCCTGAGGAGGAGGGGGGGGGAGGGCACAGGGATATGTGAAGGAGAGGTGAAGGCCCGAGAAGAATGGTGAGAAAGAGGGAAAGGGATAAGGAGAGTGAGAAAGAAGTTCGGGGGAGAAGAGAAAGAACGAAGGGATAGAAGATGAAAAAAGAATTGGAGAGAGAAGAAGGGAAGGGGTGAGGGGTAATGGGGTGGGGCGGAAAGGGTTAAGAAGGGGAAGGTCGCCAAGACGTTGTAACCGGAATAAAGCAGATTCGGTGAGGTGTTATTTGTGTAACTTGTGTTATAGTTATCGCTGTAATTGTTGCACTTTGATATCAAAATCGTTGTTCACAGAGTCCGACTGCTGTTTCTTTTAACGATGGTGGTTTCGAAATGAGAAAAAATGTAAGACGAAAAAGCAATGGAGACACCAAACAAACATGGGCCTGTAGGACATTTCTTTTACCATTTTACGAGATCTATAGTAACAGCACATTTCGAATATTATATTACCATCATTACTTTTGATTACAAAACATGCGGCGACACTTTGCTCATAACTAAATCAGAATGCCAATATCGTCGTGCATCGCAAATTAACATGTATTTCTGTCTTAATTTACTTCCAAGATAGAATAGTTTACCTTTACTTTCATTCTTTATGATGTTCATATTATTTAGGGGTTAACTATTTTAATGAATTTTCCTGCTCATTTCACAAACTAAATAATTATCTGCTTTAATTCTGAGAAGCGACAGACCTTCAGTCATTTGCATGAAAGAGTCTAAATCGTTAAACATGTTTACAATAGGATGAAATATAGGCCTATACATATACACAGAGATGTGCATTGTCTTGGCCAATAACAGGGTTTTAACCGGCATCGTTAAGGTCTTTTCCTCAAGTTGTATAAAAACATACATCTATACATCGCTTAATTGTTATGAATTACAAAATAACTCGTCACCTCTTCATTTCATTTCACATAGATTTTATCGGGGGTTTCCTGCGCTCCGAACAAAAGACATGGGCACCGTTCTTACTCTACATCTAAAAGCAAAAATATACGCCACGTACTCCCAACGAAGGTGGCTAGATCACAATTTCTTAGAGGCACTGTAGATAAAACCCCAGAGTTTTTGATATATGAAAATGATTGTTGCCAGATAACAACTTACTTTTCAATTAATGATGATGAAGATTAGAGAATTAATGGTAATAGTAATGGTAATGGAGTTGAAGATGATGATGATCGTGATGATGATGATGAAAAGTAGGAGGAAGATGGTAATGTCAATGGTGATGATGATGATGATGATAACCATAATGAAATTATACTAATTATAATAAAGATGATAATTATAACATAATAATAATAATAACAATAATAGTAATGATAATAATAATAATGATAATGATAATAATAATGAGAATAGTGATAACAATAATAATAAATAATAATAATGATAATGGTGATAACAACATTTATAATAATGATATTGATAATCATTATTCTCATTATAACAATGATACCAATAATAATGATTATCTTCGTCATGAATAAAAGAATTGATATCAACAGCAATAATAACGAACTTAAAGGGGACAACAGAATCATATATATACTACCTCTAAGCCAAGCTAAGAGTTTATAAAAGTAAATTAAGGTTGCTTTCAAATCCTATAGATTTTAATGAGTGGAATGCCAGCAATTAACTCTCAACTTTTCCCTCTGCTCACCTTTCAGATACATTGTGTGATGGATAAGGTGTTCATTGCATTATTCTGCATGATAGTTATACCCTGCAGTGCTTATGTATGGCTCTGGGGATCTTTGTTAAGTCATATGGAAGAAAACAACAACAAAATACACGGTTGGAGAGAACACAAGTACTCCAAACGTGATAACAAGCGAGTCCCGAAAATACAACCATAGTTAACTCTCTTTCTAATTTTGAGGGTTAATCAAGTTCATTTCCTGGCCCTTAATTTCTTTTACTCTGCATACAAATCAAGCTGAATAAATAATTCTTCAAAAGAGCCAGCATGAGTATTGGATATTTCTTATTAGCAAATTAAAATAATCTTTAAAAAAAAGGACTCGTCTTGGATTCCATAAATTTACATTCTCCATAATAATCGGATTGAAATTTTAATGAAAGACTATCTTTTCTCATCTTTTTATTGCATAATCATTGTACTGTTCACTGAAGTCTTTTCTCTGCAGTATCTTCAAATCAGCACAGAGGTCAAAAAATATGTGAAAAAGCAAACAGTATATTGGAATGACAAGTTTAACAATTATATTATCCAGTATCTCTTATGGTTTATATATATATATCCTTAGCCCCTATCAAAAATTTAATCAACCATAATCTCAGTCACTATTCCTTGCACTTTTACTGTTACTTTCACATACACTCACTCTTTCTCATTCACTCTCAACCTCCACCTCTGTCTCATTCTCACACTCCTAACCATTCACTTATATTGCCAGCCTCCTGCTCTCCTGCTAAATCATATATTCCCTCCTCCTTTCTCTGCCAGTTAATTATATTATCAGCTTCACTACATTCTCATTCTTGTATATTTACTCACTCTTTCTCTCACGCTCAAATCACAAAAGGAAATGACAAATTCGACGAGACTTTCCCTTCATTGATAGACTAGGAAAGGAAGCTAATGCTGACCACAGAAGATTTTTTTGGAACATCTTCTAGATGAAATGGAATACAAGAGTATGAAATGGCAAGAAGTTGCAGACCAACATCAATACAGGCTTTCCATTTACTGTACAGATACATCAAAACAACCAAGTACAGCTGCTGACAATACCAAATGAAAAGCTTACACAAAGCAACTTTCCACACTGTTTATGATGAGAAGTACCCTCACATATTCTAAATGCTTATGAATGTTACTTCAGCAAAAAAAAAAAAAGAGGAGTTCCTTAGCAGAGACTGAATACTTGTGGACACTGGAATGACATAACAGAAAGGTAAATAACAAAATATCAAACAAATGTATAAAAGAGAAAATTTTAACTCTTTAGTGCACCATCATTATTAACTTCTAAATTTAAATCATGGTATCTAATTCTCTATTTTGAGATTTTTCTATTTTCCAAAAGAATTTATCCATTCCAACAATTTAAAAGACTTTAGTAATTAATGGTTTAAACAAATAAATGTGCTAAACATCAAAGGTCATACAGCACTATGCTGAAGTATTATAAGAACTCTTCAAAGAAATGCAATGAAACTGAAGGACATGACATCCAATATAGATTTAAGTGTACATCTGACTTACATAATCACCAACTATAAACTGTTAAAAAAATACCTGAAAACCTGAAATCAGACACATAGCATTGAGATTTTATGAAGCAAGAACCAAATTCTTAGCCATGTCTGGCACCAATCATCACTTGCATTTCTTTTGGTAACACTAAAAGGAATTAATCAAGAAAAATCTTCAAAAAATTGCACATTTCAATAATATAAATGCATGCAGTGAAATACCTTTTTCCTGAAATCAAATAACACTAATGGCATAGCATATTAAGGAAGTGCTATTAAAGAAACAAACAAACAGCATAAACCTTCCAAAGAGACCAAATTAAACACATCATTTAAGGTTTTCAAGGGTTCAAGTGGAGAAACAGTAAATGATAAACAGTGAAAAACAGCTAAAAGACACCTTACACCAAATTTTCACATTCTGATAATGATTATCATTATACAACAGCTACAATGACATTAAATAAATAGCTGACAATTTGTAAAAGTAAACATTTACAGTAAAAACTTAAAACTTTTTTTGTGCTCTATTGTGATAAAAATATCAAATTCTAAAAAGTAACATAAATACAAAATAAAACAAGTAGTATGACAGTAATATAAATTTTTGTATAGAATGAGAAGAAAGCATTGTCTAAATAAATAACTTTCTTTATATTCTAAAGAGCACAACATAACAAAGGAATATTCTGCATTAACAATTATGAATAACTTGTACAATTAGATATTATACTAATCATATATCTGCTTATTATATAACACAATTATATCAAATCACTGGTTCTAATCTACAGTAAAGAACATTATGATATATGATAAATCAAATAATCAATATACATCATACAGAGAAAAGCAGCACATTGTCTTTCACAACATTCACATTAATTCCAACATTATAACACACTTGACTCAAAACCAACCATTTGGCAGTCATTCTCATTAAGATATAACTTTAACTAATACCAATTTACAGCTGGCAATGGATTAAATGATAAATTCCATGGAATTTACCAATAGGTATTGATCAGCACAGTGCATCTTCGCCAACTTGACATGATGATGGTCTTTTTTTGTAATTATTATCATTTATCTACTTACTTTTATTAATATTTATTTTATTTTCATTATTATTATTTTTTAGGGGGGGGGGGATTAGCAAGTCCCACATAGTCTCAATCAAAACACAACACCCTCATAAACACTACAAAGTTATTTATAAAAAGGAGACACTTCCAGAAATCTAAATGAGGCCAGTTTCTTTCTTTTTTTAATAGTTTTTTTGTTTTGTTTTGTTTTGTGGCAGATGCACTACATGCTATCTGCATCAAAAGCCCAAGATATAAAACGTGTTGGTCAGGATTCACAGCATAACAGCAGAGGGAAGGCCGGGGTTTAGAAATATAAAAGGGGAGGAGGAGGGGGGGATATGATTGATGAAAGTCTAATGTGTGTCACTTCTACCAATTTTCCCAAGCGTGAGATGTCAGATACAGCTCTGAAGGGCACTCTCAAGGGGTGCCACAACATTCTACATAAGCCACAAAATACTTGGCCGACAGATCACAGCTGGAAGGAGCTTTGTGAGTGCCAATGGGCAAAGCAATGGCAGATCCACTGACTGGCTAAACATCAGTTAGCTTTCCCTCGTTTAACTTTCATCATGTTGGCTTTTTTCTTGTCCTTTCGGTTCTTTTCCTGGAAAATAGAGAAAGATCAGTTTGTTAAAAGACCATATTTGGAATTCAATATTTCAGGTAGGGAAATACACAATAAATTAAAAGAACTAATAACTTGTCAGAAATTAATGTGTTGTATATGTACTGTGTATCATTCATTGAATATTGGTAGATTCACTAAACACTCTCCCAATAATACAGTGAAAAAAGTTCAAAACAATCTGAAATTAATGTACTTTATATGTATTGTATATCATTCACTGAATATTGGGAGATTCACTAAACATTCTCCCTATAAGACAGTGAAAAAAGTTCAAAACAATCTGTGACTTTCTGTGTCATACAGCCCTCCATACTTTAACTATAAATTAAACACAAACCACCTGGTTACCACCACAAATGCCTACCTTCTCCTGTGCCTCCAGTGCCTTTGCCAGTTTCCACGAGAGGACGGCTGAGATACAGAAAAGTGGAGAAAGAGCAAGCAGAAGGTACCAACAGAACTCCCATGGATTCCTGGTAGGAAATGATGCATTAAGCTAATTAACACCAACACATTAAACATTCTCCATTATTATTTTTAAATTTTACATTATTTTCAAATTTTACAAATAGTCAAATTTTACATAATCTTATAAAAACTGTATATCATTCTATATAGAGAAAATCTCTTTAATAATTTGTTACTCAAGGTATCTCTAGAGAAAAAAAATTGTATCAGACAAAGCAAGAGCTGGGCAATTTTCTACCTCTCTACATACCTGGCAGCGTATACAACCAACTGATGCAACCATCCTCCTTCTGTCTCCTCGACAGGTGTCTTTATGGGGTTTTCATTCTCCATTCTTTATAGGCCTGCTGAGAAAGGGCAAAACAACCTATCAAGTAAATGATGAGAAGAAAGAAGAAATGGGAGTGAGGGAGAGAGAAAGCAAGAGAGAAGAGAAGAGGGGAGGAAAGAGAGAAAAGAGGGGAGGAAAGAGCGACAGAGGGGGAGAAGAGAGGAGGAGGGAGTGAGGGAGTGAGGGAGGGAGTGAGGGAGGGAGGGAGGGGGGAAGAGAGAGGGGAGAGAGGAGAGAAAAAGAGAGAGAAGCGAGA